TATATATATATATATATATATATATATATATATATATATATATATATATATATATATATATATATATATATATATATATATATATATAATCTAAAAATAAAAAATAAAATAAATTCAAGTTAATATAGCTAACTACAATTAGCATTAGTTGATTAAGTTGAAAATACGACTTCCTAAAAGATATTAATGTCAATTAAAGTTTTGAGTGGAGACAAATGATAATGAACTAACGGAGGTTGAGCACAACGCAAATATGTTTTTGGTAAAATATTAAATAACTTGATTAATTAGAAATTCTAATACAGAATTTGTATAGGAGTTTATCTCAAAACATAAATTTACAAGGATAAATGGCAAAGGGTAAGTCCTCTAAAAAAATCTTTTTATTTTTTTTTACTTCGATTAGATCCATGAATTTTTATATATCATTCCTTATTTCTTAAATAATAAAATTATTTTTTTTATGTTTTAACCGATGAAATTGTCTTTAGCTTCTGTTTTGTCGATCGTTACTTCTACCTTCCCTCTCTTTTTTCCTTTGACCTCTTCGTCTCCGTCACTAAGGTTTGCCTTCGCTCTAATACTCTTTTTATCTTTTTTTTTTGTCACCTTTATCTCTTGTCTTGAAATACCTCGATTGATCCTATATACACACGAAGAAAGATTAAAATTAATTTATAAGAGTCTTTTATGAGTATATTATTATTAAATTTAATTTAAACATTTTCATCAACCGTTTGGGTTAAACAAAATTGATATATCAATTAGCCTATTAAACTCGGGTTGTGACTTTTGGTATCATAGCTGATGGACTATTCATCGATAGAATAAGAGAACTCATCATTGAGCTACTCTTCATGTGCTTGACGTGAACGTCAAACCTTTGAGTAGAGAAAATTGAATTAAAATAAAAGTATTTAGGCTAGAGGTGATTTTATTTTTTTTAATAAAATACTTAATAAGAGTATAGTAAATCTAACAAATCCATAATCCGATTCAATCGGGATAGATTTAACTAACTTTGACCAAAGAACAAAATATGATCCTAAGTCATAGTCTTCAAAAACTCATATTAAATTCTAATATTTAATAAAATTGCGATAAGACCTTGGAGTTTCAGACAAAAAAATATGAAATTGTATATAAAATATTAGATTGATGGAAATGTTCAAATTTCTAGAAGGATATGGATATAGATTTTGATCGGGTCATTAATAACTCCAAAATGCTCAAAGTCGACCATGGAAAAAAGAGAAGCAATCTTGTCCCTATTGTTATGTCCTTTTCAAAGCACAATAAGACATCTTATTGCAAGAGACATGTTTGAAAGAGAAGAAAAAGGAAGAAAAAGAAAAGAAAAGAAAAGAAATCACCATCATTCACATTGTACAAATGGACATATGTGGATTCAACTTGCCAATAGTTTCAAGGCAAACACATTATCTCAAACTAATCTTATCTTTCCAAAGACTTTGTATACCCTTTTTTATGTTTTCTTGTTCTTGAGATCTTTACTAAGTTCCATGAACCATCCAAGGTGGCAATCCAATCTACAAAGTTACCATTGTTGGTAGACAAGAAAAAAAAGATTGTTGTTAGATAAGACACCACAAGTCATTTGATCAATAGAAAGTGGAGAAAAATAATTAAATGGAGAAAATATTCTTTTTCATTATTACTAATCTAAAATCCTATCTTAAACATATACCCTACACCATTACCTTTTTCTTTTGGTGAAGGACAAGCTTAAGCTGAGAGAAGACCATGAAAGTAGTATGAATTTATTTGCTCTTAGTAAAGCAAGAATAAGAATTATGAAGCATTTATTTCACTGATAATTTGGTAGATGGAGACCTGTTAGGATGTGAATGACTTGTTCATGTACATGTGATGGATGGATGGATTGGGATCTCTCTCATAAGCCACAAAATAATAGGATTAACCAGTCAACCATCTTCCAATCTTTATCAAGATGGAAGGATTCCTAACAAATACATACATACATACATACATACATACAAATTGTGACTTGGCCAGGGAAGGCAGTATTGGGGGCAGTTCCTTTCTCCCTATTCTACCTACCCGTTTTCCTACCTAACTAATGAGATAGTTCTGATCCTTCTGATGTGGTTAATTAGGGCCCCACAATGTCTTGCAATCAAGAAGCGTGTATATTGTTGGGTGACGAGCTAACGGGTAAGTAGTTGTGCACGCAAGAAAGCTCCCCAAATCCTTCGGGCGCTTACAATATTACATGAAACCCAATCGAGTGATCCCCAACATCTGCTCCCCTCTCGTTTCGAGCTCTCAGCATTCGAGACTCACATCCATGGCGATGCGGATACCTCCCGCGTAGATTCATCGGTGGAAGCTTCCCCGTTCCACCCCGAAGTCGCCACCTTTGGTGCCCCGATTCGGAGGAATGCGTCTCCGGATGTAAAGATGCGATCTTGGGCCAGAATGAGGGGCTCTTCCTGGGGTCCGTCGATCTAGCGGCGAGGATGAAGCGATCCCTCCGTTTGCCCTTCAGCTTTTTGATCCTCGTCGCTGTGTTTTCTGTCCTCAGCTTCCGGGCGGCGGTGCAGGACAGCAGGCGGCGCGTGCGGCGGCCGGAGGTGGCCCCTCCGGCCAACGCGACTCTTCTTAGGTTGGCGGCCGTGGAGTCCGGGGAGGCGGAGCTGCGGAAGGACGTCGACGACCTCCTCGACGGGACCTTCCCCTCTGGCCACCGTGGCGTGGCCGGGTGGCGGCTCCGGACCCACTTGGACTGGCGGCAGGAGAACCACCTGGAGGTGCTGCGTCGGAATGAGCCCCGGTTTCCCCACCGGCTCCGGGGCCCCAAGGACTACCGGGCCTTGCCCGATTTCCGCCGCCCCCTCCGCGACTGGTTCCGGCGCCGCCGGTTCCATCCCGGGGTCATGTCGGAGCTGGTCGAGCTCATCAAACGCCCCATCGATCGCCACCACGGCCGCCCCGACACCAAAACAGAGCGGTACGGCTCCTGCGCCGTGGTCGGCAACAGCGGGATCCTCCTGAACAACGACCACGGCGGCCTGATCGACGGCCACGACCTGGTGATCCGCCTCAACAACGCTCGCGTCAGCGGGTACAACCACAAGGTCGGATCAAAGACCGGCCTTTCCTTCGTCAACAGCAACATCCTCCACCTCTGCGCTCGAAGGCCGGGCTGCTTCTGTCATCCGTACGGCGAGACCGTCCCCATCGTCATGTACATCTGCCAACCCGTCCATTTCCTCGACTACGCCGTGTGCAATTCGTCCCACAAGGCGCCGCTCCTCATCACGGACGTGCGGTTCGACATGCTCTGCGCCCGGATCGTGAAGTACTACTCTCTGAAGACGTTCGTGGACACGACAGGGAAGCCGCCGGGGGAGTGGACGAAGGTCCACGACGAGAAGATGTTCCACTACTCGTCGGGGATGCAGGCGGTGATGCTGGCCTTGGGGATCTGCGACCAAGTCAGCGTCTTTGGCTTCGGGAAGTCGGCGGAGGCGAAGCACCATTACCACACGAACCAGAAGGCGGAGCTGGACTTGCATGATTACGAGGCGGAGTACGCCTTGTACAGGGACCTGGTGGAGCAGCCGCAGGTAATACCCTTCCTCAAGGACTTTGGATTCAAGGTTCCTCCAGTAGTATTCTACCATTGAACTGATTGCTCGGATCGAATAAGTTGCAATTCACCATTTTGTGATAGAAAAATCTTGCAAAAAGAAGGAAACAAAAAAAAAGAAAAAAAAAGAATTGTTAGTCAGATTGTTTGGTAGATTTTCGATAGATTGTTCGTGAGTCGAAGATGTAGTTTGAGTTGCCATGTCTAATTTTCGATGTTGTTTGTGCAAATAATTATGTTGATAAGGGTTTTGAGATTTACTTCATGTCGATTCTTTTGTAAAAAAAAAAAGGAAACTTTGTCCCATATGATAGTTCTCCATTAGTTGATGAATTTGTCGATTGTGTTCGAAAAGCTGGATTGATTGAATGGGTTACACAAGAGATCTCTCTTGGTCAAGCACACATATAACTTGGTCCATAGTTCTGATATTGCATAAGGAATTCGTGACTTGAGGGAAATGACTCTTCTTCAGCTCTCCGATAAGATCGAGGAGATTTAATGCTAATCATGTTAAGTTGTTTTCACTGCAGACTGTCTGTTGATTACAACAACCAGCATATGTGAGCTGCCGCCATGGAATTAAATCGATAGAGTTAGCAAGTCTAATTAGATTGGTTCTGTGTGACCTATCATGATATTAAGTAGCTGATAGCTTCATCAATGTTTCGCATTGTCCTTGACATGGCACACACTGCATCATTCCCATCTGTTGTTTCAGGAAGCAGCTCAGCTGGGTTGGATTTTCTACAACGCACACAACAAATATTTTGCATCTTTTATGTCGTTATTATTTATCCTTTTTTAGATTTTAGCAAATAGTTTATGCCATCTTTTATGTCATAAACTGCGACCAAGTCAGTAAATAGCTTACATAAAAGGTACATAAAAGATGCATCTTTTATGTCTAATTTATGGTTATGTGTAAAGAAAGTTTTGTTATTTCCCTGAACTCAGTATAATTAATAGTTTAACCCAGTATCAATATTTACCACATTGTGCTTTTGCAACAACTGAGCTTTCTTTCATAAGAAGAAAAGCTGTTGCAAAAACTCACAATAAAAACTCTTCAAGTGTATCATTTCACTGCAAAATGGCTCATCTTGCTTTTATGCATTCAAAGCAACATGTTGTGTTGGTTGTGCATTATGAGCACTGGATGGACCAGTATCAGTTTCAATTCCATTTTCAAGGGTTCTGAAACAACTATTGTTCACTTTTGAAATTTGTCACTGCAAGATTTAGGTCATGTACTTGGGATCCATCATGGTTGTAGTAACTCAAGGAAGTTAAGTGTGTTGTGAATTCTTGTACTCCAAAAAGAATTTGGGTTTTCTAGCACAAAAGTTGCCAAGCAACTATCTGATCTACTGACTTTAAGAAGGCTTGCTCAAGAATTATATGCAGGTTAGTTCTTCTGATAAGGTTGATGCTAAACCAAAAAAATGTCAGAAATTTTGATGTAAATATGGTATACTATATGATGGGGAGCATTTATGCTCCTTGATCCATGATGTTAGTAGGGCAGTTTAGCCAGTTGAAAAAGAGAAGATGATTTTTATACACTTTATGTGGTTGATTGATCTGTTTTATGGTTACTTTTTGGTTACTAAACTTATCTGTTTATTGTAAAATACTTGGAAGAGAGACAAACAGACAAGGAGAGCAAGAAAGGGGCAAATATGTTATGTCTGTTGTTTTAGCTGCATAAATATGTTCTCTGGTGATTAAGAAATCACATTCTCAGAAACAACAACACTTGCAAATGAACACAAAAAAGAAAAAAAAAATACCTTGTTGGTTTCATCATTCATCCATCTGCAGTGGGACTCCTGTTGATTTCTGGTGCTATATCCTGTATGAAGTTGACACTTGAACCATGATACTGCTCCTGAATGGAAAAGAGATGAATCGAAGAGGAAACATGATACCTTCGATCAAGAAGAGGAAACATGATGAATTGAAGAATACCCTACAGGAATATTCTAGCCTTGAGGTTTCTATTATTTTTCTCTAGAAAAATTTGCACCCCTACCTTTGGTTTCGCAAAGATTGACAAAGGGATGCTTGGAAAGCAGAAAAAAGAACATTAGAAGAAACCAAGACCACGTCTTTTTTCTTTTTTTTTTTTAAAGTGGAGGGTGGAAAATGAGTGACTTTTTATTTCAATGTCCCAACCAAAACGACAAGCCTCTTCTCCCTTTCTTTTTGCCCTTTTGACAAAAGAGAAAGCATGATGACATTGCTTTATTTATTTAAATACAGAGAGCAAAAAGCAATGCTCAATCTAAGTCAGAGAGTGCAACGGACCCACAAAATTCCCTTACTTGGTCTTAGGCTGACTTGATAACACGTTGGTAATGGATCCATTAAATTTATCGGGTCGGATATGAATCCTCGATCCACAAAACTATATATATCTGATACCAATTAAATACCATCATGGATCGGATCGAGTCAAAGGTGGATTATACCCGATAACATCCCTACGACCGGCACGCCAGGTTTATGACAAAATGCCCAAAGTTCCCCCATCTTTGTCGTGGGGCAAAGAAGAAATCCAGCTCACGACGCTCATTTAGTGTCCCACTTTACTCTTCCGAGCATCTTAATCACTAGCCTACGCTGAGTAAGGCTGGTGGAAGTGCAGACCAACTTGCTAGCTTCGATGGGTGAAAAGATTCGTGTTGTACTTGGACCGATCTCGTCCTCTGAGCTGAGCTCTGACGGTAGTCTAAAGCTGTCTGTAAATTAATGAAGAATTCTTCTTCGCTGGAACTAAAAAATTGCTAATGTCGAGCCCGCCCAACCATCATTATATCATTTGGTTCTCCGGACGCCCCCACGGCTTTCTGTCTTCTCCTGCTTCTTCCCTTTGTTCATCTGCCGTCCATTAGGTTCTAATCAATGAGTCGGCCATAGACCTCTGTGTCTCTGTCGACACTTCTACCCCAGCCACTCCTAAAAGATCAAAGGATGGCCACTCCAAAACGGAAAAAAAAAAAAGAGTTGTGATTGTTGTTGACCCAACAATTCTTGTGGCGGCTATTCTTCATTGACTGATCCGCTTGAGTCGTTCAATAATTTGCATGTGTTTATCTTTCTAAACTTGGTTCTTTGCACCTGCGAGAGTTCGATCGCAAGACATCTTTCCCCTTCTACCCCAAGGATGTAGTACTTCACCCTTCGTAGCACTTCCATCTCGCACACCCTCAGAATATATATATATATATATATATGTGTATATATATATATATATATATATGTGTATATATATATATATGTGTGTATATGTATATATATATATGTGTGTATATGTATGTATATGTATGTATATGTATGTATATATATATGTATATGTATATATATGTATATATGTATATATGTATATATGTATATATGTATATATATATATATGTATATATATATATATATATATATGTTGTACGCTCCGTCGGTCACGCTTACAACTAGAGACTCTGCAGGGCTAAATTATATGCTGAAAGAAGACACGACGAAGAGAAGGGAACGTTGATATGGGCGTGTATATTACTGGGATGTGGCACAACTTTAATCCTACCTACTCTCAAGTTATTCTCACCATATTTACCTGATTTAGTGAAAAAGTATCCTGACTTATTCTGGTAACTTTTCTAATCTCAATTCAAGTTGTAAACAAATACATCACATCACCCACCAACAATTCTAGCACCAAAAGACATAACATTGCTAAGCTAACAAATTTAGGTCCCAT